GGACACTGCGGAAAGTGGTTAAAAAGACCCCACTTTAATTGGACTTTTATTTGTTAATGGCTGTGATCCTGATGCATTGCTTTAATTATCCCAGCAGAACTAATTTATGAACACGGCGCAGGAACGAGGCTGGACTTTGGGTAGAAACAGCATCCAAATCCTCCCCGTCTCTTTTTTGCAGAACCTCCGATCCTCAAAGCGCTTTTGCCTCTGCCTTCCACGGGAATCTCTCTGATTGGACTTGTGAGGCGTGTTACGGCGGAAACCCTCTCATCTAGCTGCTAGGATAAATAAAATAGCTAAAAAAAGAAAGGAAGTCACCTCTTTATTTTTATAGGAGGGAGATCCTAATGCGTGTATGTCCATGTTTGCTTTGGCATCAGACGATGGATGATGGATTCAAATCCAATTACAGAAGTGAAAAAAAACCCTTCTGAACTGCTCTGTCTGTCCCGATCAATCAGAACAACTATCATTGCACTGATTTACTGCATCACTCTTAAGGATTTCCTCTCCACACCGACACATATTTTCTAAAAAGGGGATATTTTTTAAAAACAGATTAACATAGTTTGCCTTTCAGCTACAGATGCATTTTCCTGCCTCTCTCTCACCATCGGAAGCTTTTGTTTACATCACCGCCATGCTCCTTGCACCTCTGCACAGTTTGTCATATTAAAACTACAGAGAGCTGAAGAAAACTGAGGTTGATTGAAATCTATGCTGCCATCACAGTATTCAATAATGTTGCAATATCATATTTGTATTTATTTATGCTGGGATTAAATTACATACAGATGGACTAGATTTACTAATCAGTTTCTCCTAAAGGGAGTAGGTAGCACTATGCTTTATTTCGCGGTATGAAATTAATGCCATTTGTAATTGTAAAAACATTTTTTAGAAATGCAATCCTTTCTCTTCCAGGATTACGCACGACTTTGGGTTGGTCTATCGCATAAAATCCAATGAATTACATAGACATTTGCGGGTGCACTGAGATAAACTGCAGCAAAGTTCAACGGGTATGAATGTTGACGCTTGGTGCTGTGTGCGAGCGTCTTCCTGGAGCCCTTCCCCAGCTGAGCAGACAGCAGAGAGCTCAGCAGCAACTCTGTCCCTCAGGACATGCAGCTCCCTCCTCCCCGTCACGAAAAGCAATCAGAGCCCAGCCTTCTCCCCTGGACTTACCTCTACCTTTAATTACAGAGCTCAGCAGCAGCACAGAGAAAGGCAGCCGCCGCTAGGCTGCAGCTAGCATCTCGCAGCCTAAACAAGAGGCCAGCATCCACACAGCAGTCTTCTGCATGCAGCATGAACTGACACAAACTGTGCGGCGACACGATTCAGCCGGTCCTGATGGGGCCCAGCATGCCTCTGCCGAGGCTGAGACGGAGCTACGGTGCTTGAAGTGATATAGCGAGCAGAGCAAAGTGTGGCAGACCAGTCATAAAGCGCAGCAGGGCTCCACGCGGCCGAGGGAAGCCCTTTCTGTATGCTTAATGAGATGTTGTCACCTGGTAAAAAGGCTGAACCTGGAGCTTCCATATGACACTGCATGGGATCTTTCCCCACAGAGGGAAGCGGAAATACAGTGTGTAAAATATTAATCAAAAGCAAGATCCTGCCTGATGAATATTAAGCTCGCTTGTGAGTGAAAGCGCGGCTGATGAGGATCGGCTCAGAATGATTGAAGCTCTCTTCGAGATCAGAGATGTTAGCGGTAGCCACAGAGCACACATGGGTAGGGGGAGATAAGGGTCTGTTTACACAGGCTGCTGGTTTTTATTGCTGCAACACAACAACTCCAACAGCATTTTAAGCACATTCCCCACACCAAAAAAAAGTCTAGTTGCTGTCCTTGCTACAGCGGAACAAAGCCAGGACGGCTTAATGTGTCATTGGGCTTAATTTCTCACCCAATAGCGCAAAACAGAAAACAGTACTTCAGTAAAAGGAATAAGGCTCGAAGAGTAAACTATCCTCTTAGGTATCTCAGAGGTACATAACGTACTGAGATGGATATGTCTCGATGCAGATCGTCGTTTCTAAATCCATGATCTCCAAACAAAGCTGGAGCCAGGAGGAGCTCTTCCCTCCACTCATCACACCGCCTCAGGCACTGTGGTCCACTGTGCCGTCACACATGATAACAACACCACACATGAACGTGTCAACTCAATTTGTCCCCCTTAAAGGCTTTCTTTGACTCAATCAATGCACGGCCTTCCGTCTGGTTTCCACTGCTGTCTTCACATTAAGGGAAGGAAAGGGCAGAGGCATTGTCCCCTCCTGAACCCCCTGCAGTTTAAAATTATTATGTAGAGATGCACTGGAATTGGACAATTTTCAGCTTGATCTGCCCTGACCGGTGACTGGCAGGTCAGGAGCTCAAATATCTGATCTCATTTCAGCCAGGGAACGCGCCATAAGCCCTGCTGGGCTGCTCTGATAACAACACAGTTCGGATGGTTTTATTGAGTGAGGAAGACTCAAAGTTTGGCATTTCCAGCATCGGCGAGGTGTTTGAAAGGAAGTCAGAGGAAAGACAGAGATGTAACAAGTTATTTAAAATGTATTTTCTAAGACATGTAAAGACGTGTGTGTGGTTCATGGCTTTCAGCAAAGAACCGTAAGGATGACCCGACTACCTGACGTACCTTTTGACTTTTCAACATCTGACATCCATGACAAGCTGCACTGAGAGTTAAAGTAAGGACCTACACTTTCTGGGGAATGCATATATATAGATTATAATTTTATAAACACTTGTATAACACAAACTCTCCAAGCTGTGCTAATTGCTAAAAGAAGATGCAAAGGACTGGTAAAGAAATAAAGTCTTCAAATCATTACATGTGCACAGTCTTAAAATACTGCCCAGGCTGTTACTGAGGTCTTGCTCAAAAAGAGCAAAAATTAGTTATGCAATTCTTAAATCATTGTGTTATATATTATGTTACAGTTTTTGAAGCGAAACCAGAATCCACTCAAATTGTTATCATCACAAAGTTCTCAAAGACCAAAAGTTTCACATTGACTCAAAATTGTACTGAAAGCAGCTCTCATTATAAAAAGTCACCGTCTTACTTGCAGTAGATCAGACTGTTTGGCTAAAGCTGAACGCTAACGGCTAATTGGAAAGCAATCAACACCCAGCCAGCTTCTACCATCCTAAAGCATGCCAAAAACTCAAAAACCTCAATGCTGTTCATGAAAAAAAAAAACTATTTATGTACCACTGAACTGTCAGCACCTTTGGAATATGCAGTTTTTTAAATAATTAGTTTTGCTAAGAAAGTTCTTACAAATTCAAAATAAAAATTAAGGGAGGAGAAGATGCACCAAAAAGATACATGTACATCTTTATAGTATAAAAGTATATATAAAAGTAAAGCATTTTTGGAAAATAAAAATATTGCATTTTTTTGGGGACAAAATCCTAGAAATGTTTACTTTGCGTCATTTTTTTTATACTTGACTCTGACAGAAGCCCTTTAATGTTTGTTCTGAGTACGTGTTTCACACAGGAAGATCTTTGGTGGTGCACTTCCTCCAATCTCAAAATCCTGTCTTCGGTTCCTTTGTAAACTATGAATAATAGCCAGTACAGATTTGCTGCAGAAACTAAATTGTTTTAAGGTGACAGACGTCTGCTTCTCACCAGCCATTAGCTTTAACCTCAAGGACAAATTAATCAGGATATATTCTGACTACAAGGTGCCTTGAGCATCATCTACTCTACTGCAGATACAGTTTGTAATTGCTTGTTACCTTTCAACAAAAAAATCCTGAACTATAGTGGAACAAAAAGCTGCACCATAATTTAAAAGTTTCTAAAAGGATATATATATATATATATATATATATATATATATATATATATATATATATATATATATATATATATATATATATATATATATATATATATATATATATGACAAGTTTGTTCTATAAAAACAAGGTTACATCAATCCTAGTCATCAATCCTAGTCAGTAACCCACAGTTAAAGTTCTGATTTAAAATTTGTATTTGCCGAATAAAAATCACCCAGACATTTATTTATTTCTGTACTTGTGAGATGTGATGCAACTAAAATCGTCTTTAGTGCAAAGTTACACCTCCACAGAGCCGTGCAGACAGGCTGTTACTGAGGTCTGTGGCTCATTATTTTTTAGAATGCTGCTGGCTGTGTGCCTGACTGGGACTTCCAGTAAACATCTGTCATGAAGCCTCCTTAAAGGGGAGCAGAGACACACTAAGCTACTGATCCAGTGACCCCACAGTGCAGGCATTCACACATGCCCTGCTGCACCTGTGTGCGCTCTGTCATGCTTACATTAAGGCCAGCACTCCCATTTTATTTGTATTTTTTATTTTTTTATTTTTTTTAAAGACACACACCGTTTATGAATTGATCAATTGGAGGAACCTGTCAGCTAGATGTGTTATCCGATTAAGTCCCAGTAGCCCGTTTATGAATCATTTATTAGTGTGGAATCTGGAATTATCCATTCCGTATTCACACTGGGGCAGCGATGCTCGGGATGCATAACGCTGATTCAAAATGACGTCCACAGGCCACTGTTTGTCTCCAAAACACGCACACGGAGCATCATACCTGCCTCGCGTTTAAACAGCCACACGTGGCATCCGCATTTGTGCTGGATCTCCGAACCCACCGAGAAATAGGTGGGGGCTTGAGCTGTGGGTTGAGCGGGGGTATTTTTTCGCAGGGAATGGGTAATCGATGGAGCAGAGACGGATGAATGTAGGCTCACGGCAGCTGTCCCAAAGAGGTAGGGCTGCTTACTCTACACCCCGTGCATGGCGCTCTCTCCCTTTACAGCAGCAAACGTGCCTCCATCCAAGCAAAAAAATCTCGGGGATATAAAATCGGTTTTGCGCGAACCGAGTTGGTCATGCGCATACCTAATAGGGCTCCTTGTTCAGCCACACACTGCATGTTTGAATAAAAACCCGTTTGCGTGCTTACCTCCGGAGTGGCTGTGCGTATTTTTTTTTCCTCCCTCCCCGTTTCCGCGGTTTTTTCCTCCCTCTGTCGCAATGGGATCCTTCTCGGGCGCTCTGGACAGTATCAGAAGATGCGTCTTTCCCCGAAACGCAAACACTTCCCCTGCATATCCCGCCCTCCACCACCTCCACCAGCAGCAGCAGCAGCAGCAGCCCGGGCCTCCAGTAATAGCAGGTGGACGCGCCTCAGTGATGGAGACAGTGCGGCTCTCCTCTCCGCCGCCGCTCCATTACGCTCGGCCGCTGAAGGATTTCGTATTCCAGGAAACGCGCTACAGAGCCGCCAGCGTGTCCCGACGTCGCCTCTTTTCTCGGGACAAGCGAAAGCGGCCGTCGGCTCTGAAAACTCCTTGCTTCGCGGCGCCCCCTCCTCCCCTCGCGTCTGCTCTTCCTTTCACTGAAAGCTCGCCGTTGCCATTGTCACGCCGTGTTTTCCTTCCTTTTTCATTTTTTTTTTCTCACCCCTGCTTTTTCTTTTTTATGTTTTTTTTTTTTTTTTTTTTTTTGCAGCTGGACCTCTCCCCCTCCTTTGCGACGCGCAGTCTCGTAGGCGCGCACTGTGCTGACTCCCCCCCAGCGCCTCCCCCCTCCTCCTCCTCTTCCTCCTCCTCCTCCTCCTGTGATTCTTCTTTGCCCGACCTATGAGCGCGCGCAGCCAGCCGACGCAGGGCCACGCACCGCTTTGACGGACGCGCTGAACAAATCAGGTAGCCCACTCCAAACAGGACTGTATCATAACAGGGCAACTGCAATGACATGAATAATGAATAGGCTACTCGTGTTTGCCAGCGCTGGGTGATGGGGGCCGCTCACTTGCAATGCGAACCGAATTTGGACGCAGTACGGGAGGGAGCACGTCGACGATTTAAGAAAAAGTTGGTTTATGTCGGTAGTTTTATTCAAAAGGTGAACGTCACTTATCACACGCAGGATAACATTTTACCCTTTTTTTTTTTAAAAAAAAATCTGGTTATCTTAACTGGAAAGTGGAATAAAAGCCCAGAATTTAGGACCAATAAAAAATAATAAATAAAAGATTTTTTTGACATAGCAATGTTTTGGTATGGCCTAAACAATTATGGGAAAGCCTGCTGGCTTGACATTTGTCCAACAGACAGTCGTAAATCTCAAAAGGTCATTGCTAAAGGAGCTGGCTGTGCTGCATCAATTCACATTTATGGAAGATTGAGTGGAAGGAAAAACGTGCGGTAGAGAAGAGCTGCTCTGAGGCATAAAGCTCATGTGCTGTTCATGACCTGCAGGCCATGACATATTCTTCATAGCTTGTCACCTAAAATGTAACAATTGTAGTTTATTTACAGCTGAAAAAAAATAAGAGAAAAATTATAATTTGCTGCTGTGAACAGCTGCAATTTAATGTCAAAAGTTTGCACATGTCTGCTGCTTGTGACAATTTAACTGCCAGCTAGTAAATGAATCAGATGAAAGTTGGCAACAACTTTAATCACTCAGAAATGAAGCCAAACAACTGAAAAAAAAAAAAAAAACTGAAATCCTTACATTAACTTCCTGTAGCCCAGGGATTTTAAAATGCCACTTTTAGTTTATGATTCGCTGAATGACTTAACACAGGACGTTAAAGATCTGCTATCGTCGTATCAACCTTCCCGCCCTCTCAGGTCTTCTGGTTCTGCTCTGCATCCCCAGAACCGAACGTGGAGAAGCACCGTTCAGCTTCTATGCACCTCAAATCTGGAGCAAACATCCAGAAACCGGCAAAGCAGCCGAAACACTGAGCTCCTTTAAAACAAGGCTAAAAACCCAACGGTTTAGAATTGCCTTTAATTAATAACAAATGAAATATTGGCCAACATATTTGATGTGTATTGATTATTTTGATGATAGCACACATTGATTGTAACTGGTTTTCTCAACTGTTGACTGTATTTTTGTGTTTTTGTGACGTAAAGCACTTTGAACTCCCTTGTGCCTGAAATATCACATACAGATAAGCTTTATTGATTGATTGATACGTTATTTTCTCATCAAAACATATATGGATTGTTGATTTGACTCTCTTATTTGAGAAGAGAGTTGAAAAGTAAAAGAATACCAACCATATAAAAATAAAATGAGACATGGCAACCACACTATATTTACTTTGTATATATTTAAAGTTTTTTTGGACAGCTAAACAGAGAGCAGGTCCAGCGATCCACTGAGGTAAACTGAAACAAAGCCAGACTTTCTGGTAATTCGTGAACAATTGTGATCGTTCTGCAGGCTAATTTTGTAGCTTGCATCATCATATGATGCTGGGTCAACTTGGCACTCTGTCTCCATTCATTACCAATAACATGCTGCATAATGACGCTTCATTATAAAAGAGCCATTAAAGAATTGGCCCAGAATGGAAACTATTTCCTGTGATCTCTCTGTATGATTGAGATGTAATGGCTTCCAATGAAACCAAGACCAAATAAGTCATTTTGCTGCAGCTCTGTCACACAATAGATGGCATGTGCAATATTTGATTTTAATATCAAGCTAGATACAAACATATTCATAGCCGTATATTTACCTGCCATGTCTATCTATAACTCCCTGTATTATCTACAAACACAATTAAGTTGCTCACTGGGAGAAGAAAATTTATGATACAAGTCTTTTTACACTTTCTTTGTCGGGTACAGGACAGATGCTAATGATTTCCATAGAGACACCATGGAAACTGAGATCAAATCCATATTTCTTAAATTACCACTTCAGTCTCTGTCATCAATACAGATGTTTCAGGAGAAAATCAAATTAGATTGGAGCTTTTTTACTTAGTGTGATGATGGAGCAGGTAGTTCCTTTAAGTCGGTCATAAATTTGATAGGATCTCCAAATATACATCTTATCTCTGCAAATGATCAGTATGTAAAAAGTAAAAGCTGTAATTGCACATCTGAAGGATTCTGAATCATAAAATCTCTTTAAATGGTTGATGTCATTTTCAAACTTTTTTGTTTTTTATCTTTACATCAAGTGTTATCTGCAGCTCACTTAAAATGCTAAAAACCTGAAGTGGTTTATGGATACAAGTCACTGTTTTTTGTACTTATGTGCAAATTGGTGGTAATAATGTATTAATTCAGCTGTAATGGTTAAAAAAACCTTAAATTCAACAGTGGAAAAAAGAGTAGCAGTTATTCAATTAACTGATTCTGTTGTTTAATTTTTTATCGGTTTTTGTATTTTATTTTCACTATTTGTATGGTAGTTTTAGTTTTTTCTTTTTGTCATTGTTTTAGTAGTATCATTACTAACTCAGTGAGTTTACTGATTTCGGTACTTTTAAGAGGAAGATTGAATTATTTTTGTTAAACGTAGATATTGGAGAGAAGTCTTCAGTGTTTCTTTTGAAAGCTCTTTAATCCAAAATGTCTCCCATTAACCCTTAAAGTTCAATACCTGAAACTAGGTTGACAAGAGTTTTTTTTTAAATTATTATTGTTCTAAATGTTTAGTAGAGTTTGTAGTTTAGCTGTAAAGAAATCTAAAATTAATGGATACAATAATAATGTTTGACAGGAAAACCATAAAACGGGGGCGAAGGAGGGATGGAGCTTCATTTGCAAAGCACAGCTGGTTGAACCAGCTGGAAACTCTTCAGGTTTAAACTGCTCCTCTCTCACATGGAGATATTTAACTACAATGTCCATGTATCTTTGTCTTACTTCTCAAATATCTCAATCTTTTCTTTTTATTCCTGTTTTGGTGCTGAGCCACTGAGTGAAGTTTGTTGCTATTAACAAAAAGTTAATGTACTAGTGATGTTTTTTGTGGGGATTTCGAAGCAACATTAAAAAAACAAACAAAAAAAAAAAAATCGTCTTCATTGTTGTCTCACGTTGTTTCTTGTTTTTAAAGAAAATAAAGCCAAACAACATTGGTATTTTAACAACCTCACCATACATAATTTAGTGAAAGTTTTTATTAATTTTCTCCTGATCAGATCCGGAGAAGCAGCACATTCTTAGTCTTAGTGCATCCAAAGAAAGTCACTCCAACACCCGCCGCTGTAACACGGTGAGAGCAGAATGTTAAATGCTGAAATTTCAGCCTTTGACGCTCACCAGGTCTGACAGGTGGTGTGAAATCTCCAATAAGATTATGACACTTTTAACCTGCACGAATCCATCCTTTTATTAACAGCTCTCTGCCTGAGCAAAGAAGCCTAAAAGGGGCCATTTGGTCAAATTTGCCAGCAGTGAATGGAATAGTCTGAGCTTATTTCTAATAGTCCACCTGAAGCCTACATGTTCCCAGAGTGGCCGAGTCTGGAGTCCCATGAATCATAATGATTCATGAGAATAGACTGAAAAGTCTTAAAGGAATTGAATGACTGCGCATAACAAAAGGGGGCAAATGTTGCCTTACTGATTCACTCCGAAAATTAATTTTGATTTGGTCTGTTAAAAACAAGACATATGCAATTATTCTCAGATTACTGAGGCATTTAGCAAACAGAAATGATTTGAAATGATATAAAGTAATAGAAGTTTGGTCTGATTTAATTTCAGACGGCGAGAAAAAAAAAATGGTTTGTGAATATTCAGGAATCAAAGGAAACAGTTGCTCTGCTCTATCATAGAGGGGTAAAAATAACCTTATTTGAATGATTCCTCATCATAAATAAAGATCAGAGATACAGATACCAGAGATAAACATGCTAAGAGCTGCTGCAATGCCAGTCAAGATTGGAATAAATAAACTCAAGAAAGCTTGATTGATCATTGAAAATGTCTCATTTTCAGCCAGCAGTTTTTGTTTTGTGTGAACGCAAATGTATCCCTGAGAATAAACTCTAATTTTACAAAAACAAAACTTCTTGAATCTGAATCTGTCAGGGATGTGAACACGCTTTTAATATTGCACGGTTATTTACATTTTCCAGACAGTCTGTCAAGGCAAGGGTCCAAAACCTAAGGACGCTGTGTAAAAGAAAGGTGGTGGTAGCATCATGCTGGGGTTTGTTTCGGTGCCAGCAGGACTGGTTCAGATTACCAAGCTGATCAAATGAGGACGGAGATAACTCTCCAAAAAAAAAAAAAAAAAAAAAAACACTTCAAAACTGTTTTTTGGAGAGGATAAAACATTTCTCATCTTAAGAAACCTCAAGCTATGATTAAAAGTCAGTTTGGAGCTAAATTAATAAATAATATTGATGGAACATAAATATTAATTGAAGTGCTTACATATATTTTAGCTTGTGTGCATAATTTTTGACTGTGCATATCAGATAAAATACACAATCAATACAAGCCTGTGCACCCTCCCCCCCCCTCAGAAAACCTTCCAAAAAACTTGAGTTCATCATGTGGCATTCATTATTATTCCACCAAACTGAAATGCTCATGAAACAAGGAATGCTATTCTGAGACTCAGGCACCTGAAGAGTTCATGTTTTCTATCGCTGGAGTCTGGTGGTGAATGTCTCACCTCATGAGGTTTCTGCTTGATATTAAACTCATAGAACAAGCAGGAGGAGTTTTCGCTCAGCCACAGCACAGATAAACGAACCAACTCTGCACACAATGAATCACTCTGCAAACTTATTTCTGAATGGCTGCAGTCTTACTGAGTGGTAATGCATGCGTGTGCTCAGGGACATATTCAAAAGAAAAGAAAAAAAAACACACAGTTTGTTGCTGCACCAATAAATAAGAGGCAGAACTCCGCCACGCTCAAGACATCTTATGTTAAAACAACCCATCAATTGCCCACTTGGATGAGGACTGAATTTGAAGTTTTACAATTTCACATCCTGTGTGAGGATGTGAAAATTATTCCAGAAATGTAATATGCTGAATCTTCCATATTATCTTTCAGTTTGCCATTATTACCACTGTGGTAATCCTCTATTACCACAGTGGATTCTCCTGACCCTGTGTGTTTGG